TCAGACATAATAAAGAAACCATTTTCAAATCTAAAGAGTTTCAAACTCTTTTAATACTCCTAAATAAAAAGTATTAAAAGAACTTATATCTATTTCTATTATATTCACTGGATGATTAAGTTAAAGCGTGTACACAAAACAAATGTGAAAGAATAATTATGTCTTTTTTTTTCAGTGGTTATATTAAAATCTTTTTAACTGTTTTGTATTTTGTTTACAACGTATTGTGGTTTCAAAAAAATTTATTAGTTTTTTGATTTAAATTAAAATTAGTTTTAAAAATAAGAAGACAAGTAAAAAATTATTCACAAATGTTTGGAAAATCCCAATAGTAGCTACAATTTGATAGCAAGAAGGTTGCAAATATATCCATCCAAAATCAATTAAACGTAAATCTGGTGGTGGAAGAAAGAAGGGTTTCAAAGATAAAAAACTAGTTAGAAAACTGGTAAACAAATTTAAGACTAACCTTTCACTAAGGGAGCGCGCAAACATTTATGGACTTTCTCATAGTTTTGTTGTTAAAGTTCAAAATAAAAATGGTTTTCATTCTTTCAAAGCACAAAAAATGCCCAACCAATCTGAAACTCAGCAAAAAAGTGCAAAAACCCTCTGCAGAAAGTTTTATGACAATTTTCTAAAAATTTCTGTATGACGATGAAACTTATATCAAGTATGATCATCAGCGAATTCCTGGTGCCAAGTATGATCATCAGCGAATTCCTGGTGCCTATTGCTAAATGTAGAGGAAAAGCAGATAAGAAATTTAAATACATAAAACATGACAAGTTTTTCTTGTTTTGGCAAGTTATTTGCAATTGTGGCAAAAAATCAGCACCTTATATTTCTCAGTCCACACTTTCGGGTCAAATATATGTTAAAGAGTTTAGAAAAACGCCTTTTAACTCTCATTAAATCACACAATAAGAGACTTGTCATTCATTCTTATTATTTAAAAAAGCATCAGATGGCTTCAATTCTTATTCTGTGCACAAGCTTATGGGTACCACCCAAGCAAAAGTTCGAAATCTTATTAGATTCCCATAGGAATAATTTGATTTTTTTTTATATTTGATCTTCTTGTATTTTTTTTTTTTTTTTTATATTTGCATTCACTCCCAACAAGGCTGCAAGCAACCACTATTAAGTTGGGAGTTACTAGGAAAAAAAAGAAGAACAGAGTTATAGAGCAAGGAAACGGTTGACAGAAGACTTAAAAAGTTGAAGGTTGTATGAGTCAGGAAAACATGAAGATGGGAGAGAGTTCCAAAGGATTGAAGTGCGGGGAAAAAAACTAGATAAATAAAAGTTTTTAGAGCATGCAGGGACAGATACATTAAACGAATGAGACTTAGCTGAATGACGAGTAAAACGAGAATGAATTTTAGTTGATGGAACTAGAGATGATAACTCCTTTGAGCAGTGACCATGATAGTATCTATAGAAAAGAGAAAGAGATGCAACTTTACGACGATGGGAAAGAGGTTCAAGCTTAGCAGATAGTCCAGGTCCAACAACATTTACAATGCGTTTTTGGACCTTGTCAAGAAGAGAAAGAGAATCGTTAGAAGAACCAGCCCAAATATGACAACAGTATTCCATACAGGGTCGAATAAGAGATTTGTAGAGGTAGAGAATGGAATCAGAAGTAAGGAAATGGCGAGCACGATAAAGAGAAGCAACCTTAGCAGAAGCTAATTTAGCAATCGATTGTATATATGGTTTCCATGAAAGGTCAGTAGTAAGCGATAATCCAAGAAGACGTAAAGAGGATGACTCAGTAAGAGGATTGCCATTCATTAATATAGGAATGTTGACCATATTACGGTAGTTGTTTGCAGTAAGCAATTGGGTTTTTTTAGAGTTGAAATTCACAAGCCACTGTGAACCCCAATCAATTACTGAAGAGAGATCGGATTCAAGATCAGCTGCTTGTTCTAGGCGATCGAAAAGAGAAGACTTTTTGTCAAGACAGGAGTATAAAGTTGAGTCATCAGCAAAAAGAGCTACTTTAGATGAAAGGTTGTCAGGAAGATCGTTTATGTAGATAAGAAACAAAACAGGGCCCAGGATGGAACCTTGGGGAACCCCAGAAGTTACTGGAAATAAAGAAGAGTGTTGGCCTTCAAGGATGACTTTAATAAACCGGTTAGAAAGAAATGATTTGATAATCTCAAAAACTTTTCCAGAAACACCATATGAAGCAAGCTTATGGAGAAGACCAGCGTGCCAAACTTTGTCGAAAGCTTTAGATATGTCGAGAGCAATAGCCCTAGCCTCACCGCCTCCATCTAATGCACGATAAAATCTTTCAGTTACAGCAGTTAGCAAGTCGGCCGTAGAGCGAGAGGATCGAAAACCGTATTGATTGTCTGACAGCAGTTTATTTGACTCAAGATGAGATGTGAGGAATTTGTTGATCAAAGACTCAAAGACCTTGCTAATAACAGAAAGAAGACTGATCGGACGATAATTGGAGGGGTCAGAATTTTCTCCAGAGTTTTTGAATATTGGAACTACAGATGCCATTTTCCAACAAGCAGGAAAACAAGACTCAGTCAAACACTTGTTAAATAGTTTAGAGAGAATTGAAGAAAGTTCTGGAGAACAATTCTGCAAGACTGTGACAGGAATGTTGTCTGGACCACAAGCTGTAGACGAGTTTAATTGAGATATGACTTTAGCAACAGAAGCCGGAGTGATTTGAATGTCTAACAATGGGTCAACCTGTTTGACTGGAATGGAAGGAAGAGAATGTCCATAAGATTCAAGAGTGGAATTAGAAGAAAAGTTCTTTGCAAACAGTTCTGCCTTATCCCTGGGAGAGGAAACAAGATCAGTCCCATGAATGAGAGATGGAATGTTAGATCTACCCTTGTTAACAATGCTGTTGAAGATTTTCCAAAAGTCTTTAGAGCCTAACTTCTGCGATAAGATGCGAGATTTAGTGAACTGAGAATAATGGAGTTTAGCATCAGAAAGCACCTTTTTACATCGATTTCTTGCAATAATAAATAGCCGTTTGTTCTCAAGAGAGTTGTTCTTTTGAAAAAGATGAAAAAAATGATTACGATTGGATATGGCAGCCGCACAAGAAGGAGAAAACCATGGAGTAGAATGAGGCTTGACTTGAAACCGACGAGAAGGAATAAAAGCTTCCATTCCAGCCTGAATCCAGGAGGTAACGTAGGAGGCGCATTTGTCAGCTGGGAGAGAAAAAACATGAGCCCAGGGACCATCACGAAGAAAATCACGAAAGGAATCCCAGTCTTCTTGTATTATTGTATTAAAGTTATTACTTGGTTGGAAATAAAAATTGAAGAGTACTTTTTTAAGTTGCTTTTATACTTTCACATTTACTTCGTGTACACGCTTTATGAGAAGCAAAAGATCAAAGATAAATGGTCAATCTATTGAGAGAAAATCTAAAAAAAAAACTTTATTATAAGATGTTAGCCAAATCAATTGAAATCAGTCACAAATAAGCAAATTTTTGACAAATCATTTTTATTCGCTCCCAGAATTAAATAAAATTGCATTCAAAAATGCTGTTCATTTAAAGTTCAACAAAGAGATTGTTATTTAGTACTTGGTAAATGAACCTTTAACCTATAGAAGTGCTTGCATTCTTTCTGACATAGAGTGAACCAGAGATGTCAGTCAATTCAACATTTCTTGTCCATGAGTTAATAATCTCTTTTATCAACTGTAGCTTGTTTGTAATTGACCACAAATTCTGTCTATTGATGTTTTACTATTACCCAGCAATAGTAAAACATCAATACCCTTAGAAGTCAGATACTGGGCAACTCTAAGTTCTATCATGCACAAAAAATAAGTTTTCAACGCCCTGCAATCCTTTTTTTGCAGCCCAATCCTTCAACAGTGGAAATTCCCTAACACGGTCTTGTACTGGTCTTGCTTCATTGTACCCTCTACAACATACAACTTAATACAATATACAACTTACTTGTGACAAAAATGCTTATTACACTTTATATCATAACCTGGATATTTCCCAATCTTCTTTAATCCAAGTTTTCATGTGAGGAGTTTCTGTTTTTTAAATGGACAACAAGCTTTAAACCCCATGTCAAACAATCTTCCTCTAACCGTTGTGTCACTCACAGAAACATTGTGCTTCTCCATAATACCCTACTGCAGTTTACTTACTTTTATGTTCTTTTTACATACTCGTACCAGAAACATATTGCCTCTTCTGCTCAAAAACATATTGTCTATTCTTTTGCGACCACATTTTGACTTGCTTCTGGGTGAAAAACTTAATCCCAAACTCCTTAAGTCTGCAAACAGACACTTTACTTACACCAACTTTACTAGCAATATCCTTTCTGTAAAGTCTTTGTTTCAGAAGAATTTCAACTTTAGTCTGCTTTCTTGGAGTAAGATCAGCCTACTTACCATTAAGACTAATTCAGTAAAAACTATCAAAATCACGCATGTGTCTTGATTTATCAATAAACTTTGTTTATCTTGATATTGTTTGTCGCGACATCATAGTAACAAACCGGATCAAAAAAATTTAGCATACTTTTTGCAGTTTATTTTTATTTATTGATATATGACACAGTGATTATATGTGATTTCAATTAATTTGGCCAAATACAGCACTAAAATAATATGTCAAATAATATCCTAAAATAATATCCTAAAAATATACCTTTTAGTGCATTATAAGTTCAAAAATATACTTTCTTACTTTTTTTTATATTTAATCTCTGTGTTATTTATTTTGCATTTTATAATTAACTTACATTTAACAATTAATTTTTTTCTTTTGGTTTTATTTTATTTCACACTCGTTTTCTAGCATATTGTCTTTTTAATCTCAGAACATTGTTTTAGGAAGAAAAAAAAAAAAAGATATCCACCATAGTGGTTAAAACTCACCATAGTGGTTAAAACTCATCATAGTAATTAAAACTTACCATAGTGATTAAAACTCACCATAGTGATTAAAACTCACTATAGTGATTAAAACTCACCATAGTGATTAAAACTCACCATAGTGATTAAAACTCAATATAGTGATTAAAACTCACCATAGTGATTAAAACTCACTATAGTGATTAAAACTCACCATAGTGATTAAAACTCACTATAGTGATTAAAACTCACCATAGTAATTAAAACTCACCATAGTGATTAAAACTCACTATAGTGATTAAAACTCACCATAGTGATTAAAACTCACTATAGTGATTAAAACTCACCATAGTGATTAAAACTCACCATAGTGATTAAAACTCACTATAGTGATTAAAACTCACTATAGTGATTAAAACTCACCATAGTGATTAAAACTCACCATAGTGAATAAAACTCACCATGTGATTAAAATACTAAAAAAATAGAGCAAGATTAGTAAAAGATTTAATAATCATTATTTATAACTATTAATAAATATAACTATTATTATTATAACATTATACCTATTATCATATTATAACTATTAACAAATATTATTTTTACCCACCATTTCCAAGTAGATATTAGGTTCATAACTAATTGCTTCGCATGAAGATAAGGATTGTTCAGTTTTTCGTGCATTAATGTTTGCTCCACATGAAGATAATGTTTGAAGCGTGTTTACAAGGTTTGTGTTGATGTTTATGGAACACCCATTAGAATAATCAAATGGGTAAACTTGATTGTAATGAGACTGCTCTTGATTGTAATGAGACTGCTCTTGCCCATAAAAGGAGCAGTTACCATTTAAAAAAGGAACCTGTTTAAATAAATATAAATTATATTATTTTGTAATTGTAACGTTAACAACAAACCATTTTAACAAAATTAAATACAATTAGAAAATAGATACAAAAACAAATGAAATAAATAAAAAACAAAAGTAAAAATGTAAATGAAATAAATATAAAATATTTTAAATGATACATTTTAATGGTTACTGGAAATACTGAATATTTATTGGGATTCAAAATTTCAGTATAAAGAAGTGATATAACAAAGGATTCAAGGAGACTCTTAAAAGAATGCTACATGCAAGCGGTTGTGAAGTAAAGAAAAAGAAAGGAAAAAAAACAATACAGCCAAATATGCTTTAAAAACAATATCATTTGGCATGGAAACTTTGGTATTAAAAGTATTAGGTAAATTTTCATCAAGAACAAAGAATGTTACAGAACTAAAAGACTGTTTAAAAGATGTATTGGTCATTATGATCAACCTGCTACTAGTAACATGTAATCCTGTTCCATGTCCTGCTGCCTTGTAGGATTAACTTTTTAATCTGTCATGCCTATAATGATACAATTTTTTTTTAATCTTTAATAAAATTGGAGGTATCTTAGTTACTGTGTTAACTAACCTATAATTTTCTACATATGGATGTGTGTGTTCTGACTAAACCTCTGGAGCAATGTTTACTGACCCGTAAGTTGCTATTTGTATGTTTGCCTTCTGTCTGAACCACTGGCACAGTTTTCACTCACACTAAAGTTACTATATGTATGCTTGTAAATTTATGTGTGTATGAATTTACTGTAATCCTTTAGATGTAATGTTTTTTTGAATGCATTTGCAAAATATACCCATCAATGTTTTAAAGTACTGCTTAAGGTAAGTAATTTCTTTTAAGTACTTTAGGTCAGCTCAGGTTTGGGATTATCATGATCCTGATATCATGAAAACCAGTACTATCAACCCCATGCCTGGCTAGCTTGAAGGGTTTGCTTTTTCAAGGCAAAGAGTAGGAAAAATAAACTCCAACCTAAAATTTACACAGTTTACCAAATTTTAAGAGACTATTTTAAATTCGCTTGTTCCTTCTTTAGGTCTAAGCATTGATAGCTACTATAGTTTGATTCAACAAGAAGCTGATAGCCAAATGTTTGGCTTGAGTGTTTACTTGCAAATCAATTCACATATTTGTAGAGAAACCAGGCTTGAATCATTTGATCTTTTTTTTTTGTGTGCTTCCACTTAGCAGCTCTTCACTCACCTATCTCTACCATTTATCACCTATCTCTTTATTCTTTATTGTTTTACTTCTCATAACCTCCTACATAATCTTCTGGATCTAGGCAGTTATAGAAGCTTTATTGCTCCTAGTCAGTTTCAAGTCTAGCCTCATTCTACTGCATGGTTTTCTTCTTCTTGTGCGGCTGCTATATTTAATTGCAATAATTTTTTCATCTTTTTCAAAAGAACTCAATGTGCAAATGTGTTAACTTAATGTTAAACATCCAAATCACTCCAGCTTTTGTTTCTCAAGTCTCAAATAAATTCTTTTATGGCGTGTGGTCCATTCTTGTCTTAGTTTACAAAAGTGTTCTCCAGAACTTTCTTCAAATTTCATTCACTTTTACTTTCTCTCTAATATTAGTAAGTCTTAGAGTCTTTGATCAACAAATTTCTAACATCTTATCTTAAATCAAGTAACTTACTATCAAACAATCAATATAGTTTTTGAAATCAATGTTATTTTGTTAATACCATTCTATAGATTTTTTGAAGAAGTAGATTGCAGTCAAATCAGGCCAAAATATTATGGAAATATCATGTTTTTTAATAAATGAAAAGACGTTTCTTTAATCATTCTTTTATATAGAAATATTCTTTTACATTACAAATTCGTGTTTAAAGTTTTACAAGTAACACCTGCTACTTTTTAAATCACAATGCTTGCCATACAAGAAACTTGGATGCAAACTTCTCAGTTGTAATATTCTTGAATTTTTTGGTGACAAAAACTTTTGATTGATGAAATAATTGCTGGCCTGACAAATGTGAAAAGTCATTTTTGCAACAGATTTGATCATCTTCAATCATGCACAAGTTTTTTTGGTTTAAAAGTTTATATAACTTGTTTGAACAAAGAATATTTGTTGTTCAAAAAAATTCATCGTTCGTGGAGAAAATAAGATAATACTGCATTAATTTCTTCATCAATCAATTTGTTATGAAGTTTTCTTTTTAAGATATGCTTTATATTCTTGAAATGTAAGTACTTTTCTTATCAAAGCTTAGCTGCATTTAAATTTTCTGCAAGATCTTTCTGCCTTGGATTTGCCTTTATGAAGCGAATAATAGATTTTGCTTTATATTTATCTTTAAATCCTTTTTTTTCAACTTTCAACTTTCAATAGATTGAGTCTTTTTATATTGTCATCATGGTTGGGGTTGAATACGTATTTATTTTTGAATTTATATCTGTGTTTGGTAAAAATAGGTGTATATATAAAAATAACATATTTTTATTTGTATTGCACTTAGTTGAAAAATTTCTCAAATATTTGTATTTGATTGAAATGGAATTCCATAAACTAGGTTAACTTAAATATATTTGCAATTCCATAAACTAGGCGTTTTTATGGCAAAAACCGAAAGAGCCAATGTTTTTTTTATTTTTAAAACTATAATACTTTTTTAAAAATAAAATAAAAATTTGTTTTTAAAGAATGTTGTTAAAAGACTTGTTTTCATTCTTCTATTTAGTATTTTGTTATCTTGAACTTACCAATGATACTAATTGACAAAATAACTTGCAGTAATGTCTATTACCAAACTGTTACAAAACCTCTCCATCTAATATAAACATTTCTTAAACTACCAAAGAGTATAACAAATCCATTAGAAGTATAATAGTTATGTGTAATAACTGTTTGTATATAGCTGTTATATACCAAATTACAACCACAAAGCTTTTTGAGCTGAAACTGGAGCTGAAAGATTCCTGGGCTGAACAGATCAGAATCAGCTGGTATTTTGGATTATCAAAATTACTTTTCTTTATTAAACCTTACTTTACACAAGAGTTAACTTGTATTTTTTAATTATTATTATTTCTTTTTACCCTCAAGCATTAATCTAACTTAACACATTTTAGATTTTATTGTTTTTAGATTTTATTTGAATTCATTGAGCAAACTTAATGCAGTTGTCTCTCATTAAATTTAGCATAATTCAATTCTACTTATCATTTTATTAATAGTGAGTGTATCCAACACAAAAAAAAAATTATAAATAAAATGTGCCTCAAAAAATTAAACACTATTTTTTTCTTTTTTTTTTTTGAAAATTACCCAAAATAACTTATATGGTTGTATTTAAGAAACAAGGACTTCTAAAAAATCAAAGAAAAATCAATGAATACCGCAAAATTTAACAAATATGCTTCCCCCAAAAAAAAATCATATTAAATTTCATCAAATAATGAAAATTTTTGACATAAAATAAGTAAAGTAATAAGTAAAATGAAAAGCAAAGTTGATAAGTTTAAAAAAACATAATCAATTATGTAACAATACTAAGGAAAAGATAAAAAAAACAAAAACATTTTTTCAGAAACCATGACCACATAACCACAGACCATATATCTTTATGATTATATAACCACAGACCAAATAACCACATGATCACATAACCACATACAGTATAATCACAATAAATTCACATTTAAATATTTGGTAAAAAATTAAAATCAAATTGAAAAAATAAAATCATTTTTAGAAAAGATAAAATTTTAAGAAACTTATATTATATAAGTATAAAAAATATTTTACATTTAGCTTTTATTTTTTAAATTTTGCTATTATTTTCCTAAGTTTCTGCACTTTTTTTTTATTTCATTTTTTTTCTTTCTATTTTTATCCTGTTAATATAAGATAATTCTGATAATGAAAAAAAAAATAAACAAAATTATTTTATTTATATATTTATTATAATTTTTTATTTATTTTGAAAATAAAAAGAAAGAATTATAAATAAAGATAAAAATATTACTTACAACAGAATTTGTGTTATTATTTGAATCTTCCGACTTAAGCACTAATGATGTTTGCTCTAAATTAAAAACTTCAATCATTGTTTATTTTAAATCATCATTAGTCATTCAATTATTGTTCATTTTAACTCATTTATCATGAGTAATTTTACTTGTTTCTTAGATCAATTAGGACAAAAACATTAAATCTTTCAGACTAAAATTGTTCAAAAACAGAAGAGAAAAGAAAAGTAATCTATTGTAATTAAGTAGGTAATAAAGTTGAAATTGTATTTCAACTTTATTACCTAGATAAACATACATATTTTACTTTATTAGTTTGAAATTGCTTGTTTCACAGCTGTTAAATTCCTTTTTGCAACTTTTCAATATGTTATATCTTTTACTATATCTAATAGTAAAGATATTTATAATATCAGGAAAGCTCAAATACTAAATACTTGATTAATAACTATAATATTAGCGTTTTTTAGATTAATTTTTTAAACTTCAACATCGAATTAGAGCACTTTCTGTTGATTTTCAGACCAATGTTTTTGTACGATTCTTCGAAAATTTCAAAAAAAAAAAAAAAAAGGGGGGGGGGGGCGACTGCAGTAGCGCCCATTTTATAAAGACAGTTAGTTGTCTTTATAAAATGGGCGTCTTTATAAAATTTGTCTTTATAAAATTGTCTTTATAAACTGTTAAGTATCACATAAATTAATTAGCTTGAACTGGAATTGAATTAAGAATTGGATAAGAGTTTCAGCAAAAACATAATAAAAGAAAATTTTGTATGAAGAAATGTTTTTAATTTCTATTGATAAACACAATTTATTTAGAAAAATATCACTGTGATCTTTGAATAATTATAATAAATAATACCTGACAATACCTTGAGAAAGAGCAATTATCATTGTTGTATCAAAGTTGTGGTACAACAATGTAATTTTATATAATTTATTAATATGAAGTTTTTAAATAACAAATAAAGTAAAAATCCGAATAATTTGTAATGCTACAATAACTTTGCTACAATAACGGCTCTCAGGCGTCTGGCCATGCTTTCTATGCAGACTTTTGCATTTTGTTGGAGATTGGGGTTGTTATGCTACTCTCTTACAAAGATTTCTATCCATTTCTGCTTGGTAGAGATGATTTCTTTGGGGATCGTCCATAAATTACGTAACGCAAAATTTCACAAAAAACAAAACAAAAAAAGATCAAAAGTTTTCCCTCGCAGAGTCAATCTAAATAGAAATTTAAGTTAAATGAAAATCGCCGCGTAAAAGAGCCTAACATCTCTTACTCTTGTTCTTAAATTATTTTTTGCGTTGCGTAATTTATGGATGATCCCTTGGCAATTTCCCGTTTTGTGAACTCCCATTGATTTTTTATGGGGTTCATATCAGGTGAATTCCCCGGCCATGGCAAAACACGTACATTTTTTCAGTTTCAAGAATGCGTAACACTTCTAGCTTTATGGCACGGTACTGAGTTAAATAAATTTACCATGAGTTTAATCAATAGTATATAGAGATATGTTACCGATGGTGCATGATTTATAAAAAAAAAAAGGGGTGATAAATAAACTAACTGCTAAATAGAATTCAACTTGGGTTTGTGATGTCCTTTATTAGAAAAATGGTTTTAATGAATACCAATCTTGCTAATGATAATGACAATCAAGAATGTATCAGCTGTCTTCATAAGAAAATCCCGTCTACTGAGAGCAAGTAATATTTGTACTTATAAAGGGTCATTCCATGCCAAATGGATAAGAGTCTAACATTGACCACCTCAAATTTTGATGAAACTTGGTGGGTTGGTTTATATCAATGAGAAAAGCAATTACTGAAAATTTCAGCATAAAATCTTTTGTGGTTCTTGAGAAACGGTCACGTAATTCTGACTGGATAGTTGGGTCAATAAACGAAATCTGTAATTTAAGAAGTAAAAATACAATTTTTAGTTTCTATAAACGATAGGCTTCCAAATTTTTAAAAATTTACTTTAAGATACAATTCAGTAAAAAATTTTGGACTCATAAAAAAAGGCTCCGACTAAGACTTAAGAAATTGTACCATCGAGTACATCAGTTGTTCACTAAATTTAAAAAGTATTTTTTTCCTACTGATTTAATAGCCTATATAAATGTGATTTCAGTTAAAAAAATAGAAGGTACTTATGGGGAAGTTACAAAATCAGAACAATGAAATTTGCACAAAATGCCTTGATGTGTACGCTATCACCCCATATACAGCGGAAAAAATAGAATTAGCCTCACCTTTATTTTTAATTTTAATTTAACAAAAATGGCAGTGAAACAATTATTAAATCTACTTTATTTCTTATTATCTTCTGCTACAATTAAAAAGTTTATAAATTGATTTTTTTAATTAATTACAAATGGAAAAAAAAAAAAAAAGTATTCAATTTGTGGAGAAAATAGAACTAGCCTCATTTACGTTATATACAAGAAAATACAGGAAATATTTTGTTTTTACGCTCATTTAATATTTAGTATTGCTTCCTAAATTTTTAATGACTTCAAATATGCGACTTAACATACTAGTCACAAGATTTTGGGTAGATTCTATAGATATTTCATTTCAAGCTTCTCTGATACGAGTTTTCAGCTCCAAGGTGAATTCAAATTGCTTACCATTTTTATAAGCCTTCCTAAAAAGTATTCCCCATAGATTTTCAATTGGGTTAAGATCTGGACTACATATAGGCCATTCCATTACATAAATTTTTTTTTCTCTAAACCAAACTTTTGTAAGCTTTGAATTATGGATAGCAGCATAATCTTGTTGAAAAGTGAAAATTTCACCCATCAACTCCTCACCATTTTCAAGCAAACTTATTTATAATAATTCAATATAATCCTGTGAATTCAGTTTTGTTAAAATCCATGGCAATGGAAGTTTTCCAGCAAAGGAAAACTTCCACTGCCCTCCCCCCCCCAAACCTTAACAATTCCACCATCAAAGTTACGACTCATCCGAGTTTCTTTCTTTTTTTGAAGATCGTATCAGTAATATTGATAGATCAGGACCATCTAGGTTGAACTTTTTTTCATCACTAAAGAGAACTTGATGCCACTTTTCCTGCCAAGACATGTGTTCTTTTGCAAATTGTAATCTAACTTCTTTATGATGAGCAGTAAGTTTTGGTTTTGGTTTACGCTTTTTCCAAACTGAGTTTGGATCTTCATGCAAGTTTTGTCTCACACGTTGAACAGATACAGGTAATTGCAAATCATGCGCGAATTTGCAGTCATGATGCACGACGTTCAATAACTCGTTTAGTACTATTATCAATTTTACGTTTTACATCACTTTCTCTATAAGCTCCATAATTAACACCAATCTTGAAGTAATTATCAACCACTTTTGGAGTTCTTTTAATTTTCTTTGCAATTTCCCGATTAGATGAGCCTGTATGTTTGTATGCTTTGATCACTGCTAATTCTTCACTCATTAAACGCTTATACGTCCCATTTCAAATCAAGGTATCAAAAACCAAATGTTAAAAACTTTATGAAAACTTATTTCACAATCTTTGTTTAACTTACAAATAATAATAAAAATGTCACAAATGCGTAACACCAAATCAAAATATACAAGTAAACTGAAAATAATTATTGTTGAGGCTTATTCTATTTGTTACCGCAAATATCAAGTATTATACATTTTATGGTTTTTTCAAATTTCAAAATTAACTATGCTATATTATAATCTAATATATAATACCGCAATTTAACTACGCTATATATACTATAATCTAAAATATTATTGTTTGTAACAATAATTATATGTGTGCGGATACAAAGATGCAAGGCATAAACTTGCTTACAGATTTACAAAATATTGGATCAGTACATGGTGAGGCTAATTCTATTTTCTCCACCATACGTTCTTGATCAGCTAGATTGGCATTATCAGAACCCGTGCCAATCGTGTATATATGTAAAGGGCAACTCGAGTAGGTGACGCGTTGGGAGGGGTGTGCTAGTACAATTTTTGGTGACAAAAAAAAAAAAAATGGTCCTCGTTTTTTGAAATTTGCCGACTGACTGACCTAAAATTTTTACATTTGCTGACTGACTTAACTAAAAGGGTTTATTTTGCGACTAAATGAACAAAAATATTCAATGATGGTGGGGTGTCTCACTCTCACATCCCACTTTCGTGCCGGCCTTATATATGTATATATATATATATATATATATATATATATATATATATATATATATATATATATATATATATATATATATATATATATATATATATATATATATATGTATATATATATATATATATATATATATATATATATATATATATGTATATATATATGTATATATATATATATATATATATATATATATATATATGTATATATATATGTATATATATATATATATATATATATATATATATATATATATATATATATATATATATATATATATATATATTAGGGTGGTGCTCAAAAAACTTTTTTAAAGTAAATTGATGGGACAACCTCTATTTTTGTTCCTTTTAGCATAACAAACTTATGTGCAAAATTTGAGAAGGATATTTCATCATTATGGGGTGCCACACGGGGTTGAAAGTTTCACTAAGGTTGATGCTAATGGCTGTAAGCACTTTGAAAAATTTTTTTTTTATATAAACTATTTTAATTCAAAAGTTTTTAAATAAAAAAGTATTGAACATTGAAAACCATGAAAAATTAACTATAATTTCAATATCAGTTTAGTTTTTCATTTTGTTTTGAATGGGAAAATGACTATTTAGTCCTGTTTAACAACAGTGGATTTCTTAGCATCTGGAAACTGTTTTCTATGCTCAGACACAACCTGGAGAAGTACTTGCTTTTGTCATCTTTTGTTAGAATTTGGTTAAAGTCTTGGAAAAGAGCAACTCCTCTCTCTGCTCTGTCATTCACAACGCTCAAACCGGCTACAAAATGCTTAGATGCAATAAAAACTTGGTCCTCGTTTCACAAAGATGAATCCAATTTGAGCCAAGAAGTTGAGATGCCCAGTATAACAAAAAACCTCATGGTGTTCGAGTTAATGAAATCAGCAAGCTCTGATGATGAAATGTTGTTTTCACGTAGTTGAACACGTTTTGCAGGAATTCCATTTCCAGTTTTTGTTTTCATTGCATTTACCATCTCGTATTTTGTAGCTGCATCAACACGATCATCAAAAAAACTAAAAGCAATCAGTTTCTCACTGAGGTACCACATATGACGAGACAATGCCTTTATCGCTACATTCGCAACATTTAAATTTATTGTCCTGAATTGTGTGAGTCGTTTAAGGCACATGAGACCATTCAGTGGAGCTTGAATGGACAGCGAAGCAGTAAACCATGAGTTGAGATAGACAAAGCAGACAAATATATTCAAGAAACGTGATAAATTTATTTCACGCTTCGTCATACGAAACTGGGATCTGAAGAGAAAAATTTTGATTGAATAAATAGCCTTGGCCATCCATCTGGCCCGATGCATAGCCCCAGGAGCCATAAAATGAACCCCGCGAGGAGGAATATGACCCAGGTAGATCATAGACAGTTCTAAAAGTTCCCTATTATCATCACGAGGCTGGTTCTCTGTCAGCAAGCAGTTCTGAATGAAATCAATAGCTTCTTTCATCATTTATCTGTTGCTGCTAAAAACTAAAGCTGTTTCAGGATCTGATATACCGTCTTCATATCTCTCACGAATGATTAATGGCCATGCTGTTTGAAACCTTTTAAACATCAAAATGTCTGGTCCAGTAGATGGTCCAGCTAATGAGTTAAACACATCTCTAAGAACAACTTCAAAAATATGGTGCCGACATGCAAGATGAAGCAGCTCTTTATTCATCTTTTGTTCAATAAGAACTGCTGCACCAGAGCGAATCCCAGAATTACTGGCTGTAGTGTCAAAAGACATGGCTTTTATATTATCTGCAAGATTCCAGTCGTAGATTGCTGTTACAACTGCATTTGCCATTGCCTCTCCAGTGCCATTTGGGAGCTTAGGCACATTCAATAGACGTTCTACACCTTGACCCGAAACAAGAATAGGCAAGCGATCTATTTTTTCATATTTTCCTGATATATCAGGGAGTAACTTGCCGTCCCAATGCACTACGAGTGGAACATCTCTAATATTTTCACCAAAACTTTCCTTCAATTTCAAAATTGTTTCGTCTCTATGTTTCATTCTATTGCGTCGAATTGACCAGCGATTCAGAGCTAGTTCACTTGGGTTTTGACCAACAGAAACTGAGAATGAAGCCAAAGCATAAACCGCATTTCGGTCGCTGATCTTCGTTCGATCTAAAGCTGCTGCAACTTGTGGACTGACAATATTTTTTGGACGAGGTTGTTTTGTCTGCGGTGTTACTGCTGAGTCATGGTCAGAATCTACGTTCTCATTGCAACTTTTGTTTCAACTACAGCTTCACCGTTGCTGACAGCATGTCTCAATTCTTCTCGTTCTGTTCTGGCTTTTATAGCCTCTTGTCTCTCATGTTTACGCTTCAACTTGACTGCCAATTTTCTGTCTATTTGTGCCATTGAACTTGAGTGTCTTCCATTTCCAAGCTGAGCTTTAAGAAAAAGTTTGTCTTCTGGATTTTGTATAAGCCTCTGGGCATCAACATGAGAAATGTCGAACGTATCTTCAAATGATGCAACAAAGGCTGTTTCTTTCGCTATCTGAGTTGCTCCTCCTCTTTTTGAAGCCTTTTGTAGATTTCTCCACTTGTTGTATATTATCTCTAGCATCGCAATTGCATATTGCAATGTTGTCATTGGTATGTAAGCTTTGCTCCAAAAATCAGCAACTGTTTTAATAGTAATGTCCGAACTTTCTCGCACGGTTTTTTTGTTTATTTTCAACTGATGGAAGAAAAACTGTAATGCTTGCTTTTGTGACGGTAGTCTAGTACCATTAATGGAGGCATTTGTGAAACCGAGAAGGTAAATTTTGGTTGCAGATCTAGTTGCAGGTTTTGATTGTGACATTTTCTGATATTTATTAATCTAGAAAAATGCAAATAAAGTTATGCAATAAGCATGATGTGACTTGCAAAAGTTATAAAATTTTATTCATTTAGTATATATTCAGTGATATCCATTATTCCGTATCTTTTTTGAGTTTAGAGATATGAACTTATATAAAATAAAATTCAAAGTAGTTTACATAATTTATATTACAAAATAACAACTTAAATGTATACTGACTTTTCACAATTGAGATATTCCACTGCAAAATTGTTAAAAATAAAAAATTTTAGTTAAAATAATTAATTTGGTAGTCTGATAGTGATAAACACAAAATGGCGGTTTGGTGGCAAATTACAAGGAATTCTGGGATAGAAAAAATAAGTAAATGGGCTGCAGCTAAGTAAAATTAACTATTTGAATGTAACAAATTTCTAAAAATGCTATGAAGTAAAATTTCTGTTTTTTTTAATCTGTATTTGGAAAAAAATAAAAAATTTTCATATACAGAACATTAATTAGTTGATAAATTTAACAACTGGTCAGATTCTCAAAAAAAACATAAAGAGTACACCTCAATGAAAAGACTTCTGGTTGTGTTCAAAATGGATTTACAGATAAAAAAATGTATTTAAAGATTTCAATAATATTCAACAACACATTAATTTACACGGCTATCTTTTCTATCGCGTACACGTGATTTTATCAGTTGGCATGTGGCACCCTTTAATGAAGGAATATTTTTATGAAATTTTGCACATGAGTTCATGAGATCAATAGGAACAGGACTAGAGGTTGTCCCAGACAAAATCTGAACATTTAATTTTTGACTACCACCCTAATATATATGTATATATGTATTTATGTATATATATATATATATATATATATATATATATATATATATATATATATATATATATATATATATATATATATATATAGATATAGATATACATATAGGGGAAAGCGGGGCAACATGGAATGAATGAATGCAGAATGAGGCAAGATGGGTTTTCATATAACAACTTAACAAAAATTCTTAAAATTGGGTGAAAACGAAACTGTATTTGCATCTTGTATTTTAAAACACCAATTGTTTTTTTGAAATATTATTAACGCAATTTTATACGCATAAGTATACTTTTTGCGCTTAAAAAAAAATTCCTCACTTTCGGTTTCTCATAATGGATGGTGCCCTTCAAGTTTAACTTCTTTAGAAGTAGTTTTTTGTGATTTGTGTTTATTTTGTGTTACTTTATTTAGAGGTATTGGTAGTTTTTAAAATTTTATAAAACTGGAAGTAAAAATAGCATAACAAGTCATCTTGCCCCGGTCACGTGATCAGATGACAAATTTTTGAACTTTTTATTTTAATATTTATTTCAAATTGTTTTATTTGCAAACTGAAAATTCATGCAGGCAATGAAGGATTTTAATAACATAAACATACTGAGAAAGTATTATTGCTTCACGACTGATAGTTTTATAATAACTCAGGGCTTTCAAAACGTTTGCCATGTTGCCCCGCTTTCCCCTATATATATATATATATATATATATATATATATATATATATATATATATATATATATATATATATATATATATATATATATATATATATATATATATATATATATATATATATATATATATATATATATATATATATAAATTATATTTGTAATTATTTTGTCGCTAATTATTTCATCGTTAATGATTTCAAATAGCTAGCGCTTTAGTTGTTTGCCAAAATTTACAATTTTTTTAGAAAATTATAGTTTTTATTAATAGTTGAATACAAAAAAATATTCATTGTTAATTTTTTTTTAAGTTACCTGCACGATGGTTACTCATTAGTTGATTTAAGTAAGGCGTCGGTGGCTCATGAATCATTCTATAAAAAAAATTGTTAGAGAATGTATTATGTTTATAAGTATTAGATAATGATGTTAAATATGCTAACAGCTATAAAAATAGCTTTTAGATTTAACTAGTTAACAACAGTTTAAACATGGTTGGATAAGTAGAGAGTAGAAAAAACCAACAATGAACGTTAAAACATGAGCACTACCAACACACATCAATCAGCTTATGTGCGCTACTTACGAATCTCACTCAAATTTTTCACTTTGTGTTTTTAGAGATGTTTTGCATTAAAAAAACTTTTAAATATTGTTTGATAAAACTCGGTTTACTTTTTAAGTTCATAGTTGATATACCTGTTTTAAAATAGACACCATTTAAAATAATTAGCTCAGGCATGTAATCTCTCACTTCTATACGCTGGAAAAAGGTTATAAAATGAAATTTCAAATAGCAATAGGTTAAAGACAAGGGATAAAAGATTTTTGTGTTACCCGATAATTAAATCAAATAAATAATGTTGGTAAATAAGGTATCAATCAATTAAGTAATGCTGAGTTGCTTAAAACTAATGGTTGACATAAAAATTTTGTAAAAAATAGATGCAGATAACTTTGAAAATACTTTAAAGTATTAAAAAATTATTTTAAAACTTATCATCTAATTAAATTTTTGTCACTAAAAAAGCTATTGGTGTATTCATGTTATATGCAAATGCTTATAATAATGTATATAAAGTAATCTACTAACCCCCTTATTGAACTTTCCATTGTATTCCAAACAACCATAATGTTACATAAAGTAGCTCAAAAATTTAAAAAAGAATTTAAGATTTATTAAAAATTATTTTTCATTGCTAATTTCAATGAAATAAAAAATCATTTGAATTATGTCTGCTAGAATGCTGTCAAGATGATGGGTTTATATTAATACGATATTTGTTTGTGTTTACTCGTGTTTACGTGTTTTATTTGCAGAAATTTTTCTATATTATAAGCACATGCTTTTTTAATCTATGATTAGTACATTTAAGATGCCCTATATAGTAAACCATGATGTCATTATTTGTTGACTGCGCACAAAAACATTCTTGATTGCAAAAATCAAGTTAAAACTATATATATATATATATATATATATATATATAAATATATATATATATATATATATATATATATATATATATATATATATATATATATATATATATATATATATACATATATTTATATATACATATATTTATATATATATATATATATATATACATATATATATATATATATATATATATATATATATATATATATATATATATATATATATATATATATATATATATTTAAATATATATATAATATATATATATATATATATATATATATATATATATATATATATATATATATATACATATATATATATATATATATACATATATATATATATATATATATATATATATATATATATATATATATATATATATATATATATATATATATATATATATATATATATATATATATATATGTATATATATATATATATATATATATATATATATATATATATATATATATATACGTATTAGTGCTTGCATATATCTTCGCGAGAGTGCTCGATGAATTAAAGTAAATTAAAATGATTTAAATTAAAACAGAGCTATATTTACATATTATTTATAAATAAAACTGCATATTTTTCACAACTTTTTTCAATTAGAAAATATGCTGTTTTATTTATAATTAATATATATATAAATATATATAAATCTATATATATATATATATATATATATATATATATATATATATATATATATATATATATATATATATATATATATATATATATATATAAATGCTTATATTGTGTGAAATAGTTAAAGTTTTTTTAAACTACGAAAAGTATAAACGAGAAACAAAAGTAAAGAAGAATTTTTTTGGGGGGTTTTTATTATTTTTATATTGCTCATTCTTTTATTTAGGTGAGTTTTGCGTTAGATTCATCAATAGTGTAGTTATATTTTTATGCCGTGTAACTATTTTCAATTTTTTACTGGATTACTTTGTAATCTCACATTTTTACATTTTTTACATACATTTTTTATATGAGTATCAAAATATTACTTTTATACATATGTTATTTTAATTTTCATAAAGTTGTTAAAATTAAAAAATGTTTTAGGGTACTGCAGGTTTACCTTGGACTAAACTAGTTACATACATATGTGTGTATGTATGTATGTATGTATGTATGTATGTATGTATGTATGTATGTATGTATGTATGTATGTATGTATGTATGTATGTATGTATGTATGTATGTATGTATGTATGTATGTATGTATGTATGTATGTATGTTTGTATGTATATACATAGATATATACATATGTATATATATACATACATACGTATATATATACATACATGTATATATATATATATATATATATATATATATATATATATATATATATATATATATATATATATATATATATATATATATATATATATATATAGTTTTAACTTGATTTTTGCAATCAAGAATGTTTTTGTGCGCAGTCAACAAATAATGAAATCATGATTCACATACATATGCATATATACATACATATAAATATATAATTAAATTATATATGTATATATATATATATATATATATATATATATATATATATATATATATATATATAATATACATATATATAGCTTCAAAAATGGTTTCTTGGAGTTTCTGTATTTCTTAGTTTGTTTTTTTAAGTGATATTTTTATATATTGTTTTTTATTATTATATATATATCGATTATTGTTTTTTATTATTATATATATATATATTGATTTTTCATATATTGTATAAAGATAAAGAATAAATTTAAAATAAAGAACAAAAAATTAAAAAAAAAAATTAGTGTTTGGGGAATAGAACTCCAAAAGACTTTTCCATAATCCCTTTCTAAAAAAAAAAATTTAAGTCATTAAAAATAGAACATCAAAAAAAAAAACAAGTTATGAAAGTCCTTGGGGAATGTTTTAATTAATCCGAAATGATAGCCAAATATTTGTACATATAGCGTCAATTACAATTTTTCAAATGCTGTCGCAAAAAATACCTCAATTAACTGAGCTACACCACTGTAGATTTTATTGAGTATCAAGTTTAGAGTAAAATGCAATGATAGGGAGATTTGTTTTATCAAAGCCAATAAAATGTTCACATGCTTTTACTAATATTCGCCGTAAAATACAAAAGAGCATAAATCATTTTTCTTTTTACCAACCAAAAAAACTAAAAAACAAGTTTTTACAAGAAAGCAACTCGATCTAAAAGCATGTTTCAAGAAATTTGTTATCTATTGGTTGAGTAAGTTGCACCATAAAAACTAAACAAATTATCAACTGGTTAATCTAACAGCCTTAAAGAGACAAGATTAAGCAGAGCTACGTAATTTAGTAAGCTCTGTTTTTAATTCAGTTGATAAAGTTTTGTATAAGAGATAATTAAGAAAACTTTTTTTATATGGATACTCATAAAAAAAAAACATGCAATTTTTTTAGGCATGTTATGGCAATAGCTGCGTAGACAGGTCACCAATTGCAACGTGGTATTGTTTGTTAAGATTTGCTTTGTTAATATTAACCTTTCTTTAATAAAGAACGTACCGCTGAGATAATCTTTTTTGCCGGTATTTGAGTTTATGATTTGTATGTTTAAATATATTAAAATAGATGAACGTTAAAAAACTATAGCTTATAACATTCAAATAAAAATACTTTATTTAAAGAAGAAAAAAAGAAAAAGATTAACACATTAATGAAGAAATTAATAAAATTTGTGTAAACGCGAAATCTAATTTCTAAAAAATGCAAATACTAATTTGTTATCGTAATTATGAGCTTTCACATCAATCTAAAAGTTTGCAAATTTTATATTATTTTGCGTTAATGAATAAGAAGTAAGGAATGTATGTAAATACGCAGGCCCTTAGGAACAAAAATTATATTGGAGGAGGAGGGGGGGTGTGCGGTTTAAGGGGCCTCGAAATAGTTTTAAAGACCTTTTTTTTTCAAAATTAATTTCAACGGGCCTGATATGTAAATATAAAAAAATATAAAATATTTAAAATAATATAAATAAATATAAATAATATAAAAAATATAAAAAAATATTTATTAATTAAAATATTTATAAATTAAAAAAAAAAAGGTAAATGTTATTAACTTATTTCGATGTTTTTTACAAATTCTTTTACATTAGTCTTTTACAAGTTCGTTTACAAGTTTACAAGTTCAAACATATTCTCTTAACGAATTATTTACATATTAGTCTTTAAAGTGTTTTAATTTTTCAACTGTGCCTATTTTTTTCACCATTAAATCTTTGCATCAATTATCCTTCTGATTTCTTAACTAAAATGTGTTTAGTCTCAATTAGAGAAAGTTAGCCTAAGATAGCAATATTTTAGGACGGAAAATCAATACTGGTATTTCGGTATTGAAGAAAAATAATACTGGATTGCCCGTTTTAAAAATAATATTCAACAAAAAAACCCGCATAAATTAAAAAAAAAAATTATGAAATGTAAAAATAAAGATATTAAATTAATGATATTATTAATCGTATTTTAAAAAAATTAAAAGTAAACCACAAAGAACTTGAAAATCAAATTTATTGATGGTAGAACTTTTATATCTAATTTCATAAAAAAAGGGCATTTGAAATTTTGTCATTCTGCACCTGTTTTTAACTACACCTAAAAAAACTGCTCTTTCAAAATCAACGCTTGTTGGGCAAATTTTAAATAAAGGTCATTAATTTGTTATGAGATATTTTTCTCGAACACTTTTATCTTAAATAATCCTTACTTGCATTGTTGGCGTATGGTTGAGTTATATGACCGCTGATCCGAAAATTATGTCATTCAGCCACTTATTTTATTGTGTGTATATATACTGTATGACCAAACTAAAATTGTCCTAGCTCTGAAGAATTTTATATATATTTTATCACAAGCATTGTATAATCACAATTTTGTATATTTTATTATAATAAAACGACCTGTAATAAAGCCATAATGGGGCTCAGTGATAAGACAAACTGGTATCTTCTTTTTGCTACAGCCATTTCTTTTATTATTAATGTTATTTTAAAACTTGTAACTTTCTATGGCAAAATTAAAAAATAAAATAAAATAAAAATAAAAATAAAAAAGAATTCTTTTTTACAACTACTTTTTTTTAATCTATTGGAGTTATAATTCCCAACTTCCTGGGAAGTGTTTTTTATAATTTGGAACTTTTTGATATTAAGGCATTCTTCTTGATGAACCTAAAAAAGGAGAAACAGCCAGTCGAAGACAAAATTAGATAAGTGCAGCCAGCAAGTTTTGTTGCGTTTTTGGAATACTTAGTAATTTTTGGAGGAGGCCGTATCAAAATTTGAATTAGATTTGTCGACAGGTCTAGTAGTATTTCTTTTTTTAATAATATTACATCACGTTCGATTTAAAAATGTGTACGAAGACCACTTGTCAAGCCATCTACTGTTTTTATAATTTTTTTAATTTATAAGTTCTTACATTTTGCGTTATGTTCAATTTCGTCTTTGAGAAAAAAAACTGAACAACTTTTATCTCTAAACTTCATTTTCCAACTCTCCTAAATTAGATTATTAACTCAAACTTTAAAATACCTGATTGATTTAAATTTTGATACTTATAATAAATGAGTTTTAATGTTAAAATATAAATTCTAAATTTAAATCAAAAATATTTGCTCCTTAAACATACCAAATTTGTACTTGGTAAACATTCAAGAAAATATCTAAGAAATATTTACTTTTAAATATATCGATTTTGCAATGCGACTTTACAAATGTTAATTTTTTTTGACTATTCATAAATGACGTAACGATTTGACGCGTTTCGCATGTAAAAGCGTTTTAATATTTACGCAAATATTGTAAAATGTTGGTTTATTTTAATATATATATATTTTTTGCAGGTGGCGGTTTTAAGGAGTGTATGACATTCCAGAAAGAAGGTGATTTTCAAATTATTTTTGGTTTTTCAGGAATATAGTCGGCTAGTAGGTATTTAACACGTTTCAGTCGGCAGATTTTTAGTTTTGAGGACCTTTTATTTTTTTCAGAAGGCAATCGGCACATTCGTCACACGGATTCGCCAGATCCCCTTCCTGATTTTATTCTCTCCTGAATGAATGATACAAATAAGGTTTGAAAACAAAGATTATATAAACAAAGATTAAATATAAAATAGTTAAATAAAATAATAATAAAATAAAATTTTGAAATACCGTTATTTAAAGTTTTAAGAACCGGTATTCAAAACTAAAGAAATCAAAAATCTTACTATAACGTTATTGGATTCCCTCATTACTATTAAAAACTATCATTATTGTTATTATTATTATTACTATTATTATTATTATTATTATTATTGTTAATTATTAAACATTAATCTTTCAAACTTAAAGTCCTAATAATGGATGGTTGTAAATTGCACAGGGTATTCATAATCGAGCAAAAGAAATTTACTTTATTTCTTTTGCTCGATTGTGAATTTTACTTTATTTTTTGAATTCTCTTAGTTATATTAAATTTATTAATTTTATATATATGTGTATATTAAATTTATAAGTTAAATGTTATGTTTTAAAAAAACAAATATTTAGATGACTTGACAAACATCACCAACCCACTAAAAATTTTACTTGCACAACGTTTTTATTATCAATTAGATTTTTTCTTTGCTTTTTAAGTTCCAAAAAAAGATCCAAGAACTAGTTACAGAGCATCATAAAATCAGAGCATCAAAAAATATTGCAACAAAATCCAACCGGATATAGTTCAACCCTACATTGCATGTCGATTAATTCCCTTAGACAAAAATCCCGAGATTCGCCCCATAGGAATTGGGGAAGTGTTACGTAGGATTGTAGATAAAACCATTAGCCACCATTGTCAAAAAGAAAGCAAAGAGGCAGCTGGACCACTACAAACTTGCGCAGGACACGGAGCAGGAGCAGAAGCTGCAATACATGCCCTGCAAAAGATAGTTCATCAGGAAGATACTAATGGTGCTTTGTTAATCGATGCTAGGAAAGCGTTTAACTGCCTAAACCGTTCTGTTGCACTACATAATATACAGATAACTTGCCCAATCTTAGCTATGCACTCTTAAAAAAATCGGTTTTTCAAAAAACCAAATTTGGTTTTACGGCTTGTCCCAATAAACGAACCAAATTTGAATATCTAGAAAACCAATTTATTTCGGTTTTTTAGAAAACCAAAGTAATTTGGATTTCTAGAAAACCAATTTGAATATCCAGAAAATCAAACTAAGTTGGTTTTCTAGAAAACCGACGCTTTTTGGTTTTCTGGATAATCAAAATTGGTTCGTTTATTGGGACAAGCCGTAAAACCAAAAACTGGTTTTCCAGCAATAACGATTTAATTAAAGTTATGTCATAATTTTTAAAACGAAACATTTATGATTATTTTACTAAACTTAGCTCCATGAGTTTTGTTTCATAGAATAGAAATAATCGGCCAGAAATTACAATTTATTACAAAAAATGAAGTTTATTAATTTTTTACTATATTTATATACGCTTTTCATATCTATATATATATCTATATATATATATATATATATATATATATATATATATATATATATATATATATATATATATATATATATATATATATATATATATATATATATATATATATATATATATATATAAAACAACTAAAATGTGGAGAGTTCAAAAAAAATAAACTTGATTTAAATAAAGATTTTGAAACAAATTAATAATATTAATATATTATTAAGTTTTATAATTTAATATTATAAGTTCAAAAAACTAGCAATGTTTTGAATGTTGGCAGGAAGTTTACTCCTTCGCTCAAAAACGTAATGTTCTAGAAAAGACAGGGTTTTTTGTAATTTCTTTGGATACGCAATATCAAAAATATAATATGAGCAGATGACGAGACCCAAACCACAAGTTACATCAGGAACAGAATTGCTTAGTGTCAGCCCGTCAACTACAAGACTTATTCGTGTTGGATTTATAGCATCTTCAATTTTCAGAGCAGGGGTTGGATAGATTGGATCCTAATAAAAAGAAGCATATAATTAATAAATATTAAAAATTGCATTAGTCAACTTTATTAGTATATTTAAATAAATAAATATATAAATAATATATATGCAAATAATTAGAATAAAAATATATAAATGTTAAAAATATTAAAATAAATATTGCATTAAAATAAGCATTGAGTTTTTAAGTAATAAATATTGAACTGAATAATTTTTTCCATCAATTTTTATTCAAATAAAGGAATATTAAAATGACTTATATGATATAATGATATACAATCATTTAAACGAATCGATGATATAATGATATACAATCATTTAAACGATCAATAAAATTTACTAGCGTCATGGTGAACAAAAGTGCTTCTTCGTCACAAAAAATGCTTGGAAGAATTAAACAATGAAGGTTTTTTATTGTTGCTAAAAATAGAAAAATGAAATAAAAATTACAAAATTAGAGTAGTAATTAAATAATTTTCATGTTAAATTAACAATTATTACCATCACTAATCCCATTGCATAATGTTTGCCATCTAGCTGACAAAGGTTTTTTTAAATCTATTAACTTCTTCATTCCCTCCTTCATTCTACCCAATAATAACAAGCAGTTATTGTCAATATCTGTATTTGTTATAACTCTTGCTGCTGCAAAAAGCTAAAAATCAAATAAAGAAAACGACTTCACTACGCCATTAAATAAAAAAATATCCTTGAATTCCACCCTAATATTACAAGGACTTTTCTAAAAAATTTGGGAAGTGGTACCCTGGAGCAGCATATGTTATTTAGCTAACCAAAAATAATATTTGCAGACTTTTAAAAAAACAACACAGACAATAAAAAAGTTTAATAAACACAGAAAAATTAATTTTGAACTTCCCAGGCCAAGGCAGTAAATATATCTTTAAAGATACAACTAATTGTCTTACAGGATTCGTAGCCAAATATTTATATAAAATTCTATGAATTTTTCTTAACTTTTTTAAAAAATCAGACACATTTCCTTGACTATTTTCAACAATAGTTTTTGTAAAATGTTTGAAACTACTATCTAATGTAATTTAATGGAAATGCTAAAATTGTACATGCTTTAAATGACAAAACGTATAAAACTTAGCTATTAGTTAAGCTGGATATTAGTATGGATCTTACTATTAAAGATGAAAAACAAAATTTACTAAAACACTTTCAAAAAAAGTAAAAAGGTAGCATCAACAAAAACATAATAGCTGAATTGTAAAACGGGTAACTTAATCTGAATTCTCTGACTTTTCAAACTATCTAAAGAAGAAAAAAAAAAACCCTGACTTTTCCAGGTTTTCCATGACTTTAGCCAAAATTAACAAATTTTCCAGGTTTTCATTGTACAGTACAAACCCTACTTTATTTAGTTTTATAATTTTAATTTTTATATGTATTTTTATGTATAGTTTATGTTGATTGAAAGTAAATTTCCTTATAAAAGTAATAAAACAACTGAAAAATTGTTATTTAAGTTATTGCATTAAGCCGCTATCAAGTTCATTAAATGGGCGACTTATTGCTCATATTCAGGAATGCTGCAGTTTTAAGACAACATTAAAAGAGCAATATTGATACAAAAAAATACTACATAAACCACTTACAACTTTTTCACAGTAAAGTGCTGGGAATTTATTGAGGACATCTAAAGTTCTTTCATTTTGGCATGTATATTTTAATGCCTCAATAGACAAGATAATCTGGTGAGCCAAAAATTCTATATCTGGGCGCAGTTTCTGACACTCATTCTTTATACTTTTTATAATATCTTGAGTTATACCATCATCCACATTCTATTATATAATAATTAAAATATGTAACTAATTTTTTTTATGCTATCAAATCAAATACACTATGCATTTTCTCACATAAATATGTATTATAAATGCTGTGAAATCGTGCTTACCTTATCACTTGAATGATGGCAGTGACGTTTTGCTGAGCAAAGATTAACAGACTCATTCAGCAAGACAGAATTTCGCTTACGACCAGAATTAATTCTAGACTACTTTATTTTAAACTGTGTAACTTGCTCATCATTTAGAAGAGGACGCCTAACTCGCTTAAATTTTGCCTTCAACAAATGCACAAGAAGTTCCTGACAATAGAATAAAAGAAAAAGCTTCTTTAGCTATATAACTTTGTAACACCATTGATATTATTAGTTTTAATTATACAGTTAAATACTCACAGAGCCATTGCAGTGACGAGGTTTTAGAGAAGGATACCTTAGGAAAAGCTCATTTGCTATTTCATAGAAGTTACTTGTACTTGGAAATCTATAAAACATTTATTTTAGTGAAAAGCAATAACATATTTTATCATTATTGACAGCTATGTTAAGAAATATAAAATACCATTATTTTACCAACTTTGATACTGATAATAAATGTTTACTTTAAAAATTAAAAAATTATAGTATTTTAAATTATAATTTACTCAGTAATCAAAATACTTACAACCTGTACTGTTGCTTCATGACATCAAAAAAAAAATCCTTAACATACTCCTTTAGTTTTGACCTTTTTGGAATACTAAAGTCTATTTCTTTTCTTCCACAGCAGCAAGGAGAATAGGGGGCAATGTTAGTTTATCTGACTGAATACTAAAAAATAAATTCAAGACATGAATTATGAAACAACTTTTTATGCTATACAGTCCTAATAGTGTAAAATGCGTGCACACAATCTTAGCTAAATATATTGTATCAATTTAATTATTTATTTTTTTTGTTTAATAATATAACATTTTAAATAAGATAAAATTTAAAAGAAAATAAACAAAGTTATAAATGTTTACAAACAAACAAAACATAACTTACAAAGATTCAGAAATAGTTGGTGCCTCGTTATTGTCACAAACAGGTAATAATGTAAAAGGTGATAAGGAAATTACTGCTTAGCAAAACATAGTATTATCATAATATAGGATATTCATATCATTATATTAATAGTTATATTATACATTTACATATATATATATATATATATATATATATATATATATATATATATATATATATATATATATATATATATATATATATATAGTTATATTATTAAAATAACTATCAACTAATAGTTAAAGTTACTATAACTATAACTAATAGTTATAGTATAAATATTGTAATCATAATGATATATCATATGATAAAAAAAGTTATACTATATATATTAGTTATAGTTACAGTAATGGTATTATTATTATTAAATATGCATAATTAGTAGTAATAATATTGCTACTACTTTTTTTAAATTATAGCTTAGCGATCATATACTATATATTGTTATAAGCAATATATACGACATATTGCTATTAGCAATATATCGTATATATTGCTTATAACAATATATTTGGTATATAAAATTATTGCTTATTGCTAAGCCTTGGAATTACTAAGGCTTAGCAATAAGCAATAATTTTATATAGCAAATTCATATATTCAAAGTTATTGCTTAGCATTACTAATAGTAATGCTAAGCAATAACTTTGGAAATAAAAACATTAGAGATATATTTTAAATAGATATAACAAATACTAACAGGTAAAAAGGTATTTGATGCCATTAATTTACTAAAATAATTGAACGACTTCTTAGAGAGTAAAATTTAAAATAGATAACAGCAATTCTAATTTTATAAGTAACGAATAAATGACAGTTATTAAATAGCGCGCTTGTTTAAAACTAATATGGAGGCTGCAAGTAAACAACCAATCAAATTTAAAGATAATAGATGAATATTTGGAAAACCAAAATAAATTAAAACCCACGCATTTATTTTCTAAAAAACCAATAGTTTTTCAAATATGAATTGTTGGAAAACCAATTTATTTTTGTTTCTCTTGCAAAAAACCAAATCATTTTTTGGATACGCCATAAAACCTTTGGGTTTTCTGTGAAACCGATCGATTTTCTAGATAATCAATGAAAAACCAATTTTCGTAAGAGTGTGTATTTAGTCAACACTTACCGTAAACCGGCAAAATTATTCATTTACGGTGGAGAAACTATTTTTTCAAAAGAAGGCACAACGCAGGGCGATCCCCTCGCCATGCCATGGTACTCACTTAGCACTGTGACAATCATAAATACATTGAAACTAGTAATTCCTGATGTAAAACAAGTATGGTTAGCCGATGATGCTACGGCTGCAGGAAAAATACAGTCTTTAAAAAAGTGGTATAAATGCCAAGAGGATGTCGATGGTTTGTATGGTTATTATGTAAATCAGTCAAAATGCTGGCTAATAGTAAAATCTGATAACCAAGCTGAAGAAGCTAAACTTATATTTGGCAACTCCATAAATATAACTACTCTGGGAAAAAGGCACTTAGGAGCTGTACTTGGTTCGGAAGCGTACAAAAAAGTGTATTGCAAGGATTTAGTAAGTAAATGGTCTAAAGAACTTAACAACCTCTGCGAAATTGCCACAACGCAACCACAGGCTGCTTATTCAGCTTTTATTAAAGGGTACAGATCTAAATTCACTTACTTCTTACGCACAATTTAAGCTTTTGAAAATTTCGTAACACCAGTGGAAAAAATTTTATCAGAAAAATTATTACCTGTATTGTTTGGAACTGATTGTTCTATAATCAAAGAAAATAGGGATTTATTGGCGCTATATCCATTGGAAGGAGGACTTGGAATTTGTAACTTAATAACTGAGACCAAGGAACAGCATACTGCCTCTAAGAAAATAACTAACTTGCACATAAAATCAATACTCGATCAGTCAGATGTTATGAAAGAAAAAGATGATTTTGGAAAACATTTTCAGAAATAAAAACAAAAAGAAATATGGATAAATCTAAAAAAAAAAAAAGAAGAGGTTAAAAAAATACATGCAGGACTTCCAGAAAACCTTAAACTTCTGGTTGAACAGGCCTGTGACAAAGGTGCCAGAAGCTGGTTAAACACCTTACCAATTAAAAAACAACATCTAGATCTGAATAAGGAAGAGTTTAATGACGCACTTAGATTGAGATATAATGTGCCACTTGCCAATTTACCATCCTACTGTGCTTGTGAAGAAAAATTTTGACGAGCTACACGCAATTTCATGCAAAAAAGGTAGCTTTGTTTGTAACAGACATGAGATTTAACATCAGAGATTTATTAACTGTTTGCCTAAATAAAGTTTGTACTGATGTTCAAGCGGAGCCGCATTTAATTCCATTGACAAATGAAAAATTTAATTTTAAAACTGCCAATACCAACGACGAAGCTAGATTGGATATAAAAGCAAAAGGGTTTTGGAGAAAAGAAGAAACTGCATTTTTTGATTTTAGAGTAAGGCACGTAAACTCCAAATCCTCCAAAAAACAACCAACAAAACACATATTCCGTAGGCACGAAGATGCAAAAAAATGTGAGTATTTAGAACGAGTTCTAGAGGTTGAACACGGGACATTTACCCCATTAATTTTTGGTACGAATGGTGGGTTTTGAAGAAACTGCATTTTTTGATTTTAGAGTAAGGCACGTAAACTCCAAATCCTCCAAAAAACAACCAACAAAACACATATTCCGTAGGCACGAAGATGCAAAAAAATGTGAGTATTTAGAACGAGTTCTAGAGGTTGAACACGGGACATTTACCCCATTAATTTTTGGTACGAATGGTGGGTTTGGAGACGAATGCAAACGCTTCACGGCACTATTCGCAAAACTGTCCTTAAAAATGGGTGAGCGGTACGGAGCTATTATAAATTGGCTAAGGACACGTCTTTCCATGGAGATTACTAGAGCCTCCCTACTCTGCTTAAGAGGTTCACGAACCCCATTTAGGCATTATAACACTGACGATGTTGGCCTGGAAAATGTGCAATGTGGATTTGTTTAACTTGTATTTTTAAATTGTTTTATTAGTTTAATTATTCTTTATGTATAGTCCAGTATCTACATTGTTTTCGTTCAGAGAAATTTCTGATTCTTGGAAATGTAAATAGTGAAGCGAAATTTACGCGTAAAATTTAAATGTTAACCAAACGCTTCAGTGAGAAAAGCAAGTTTGTATGATATATAAGTATTTACAATTTAACGAATTATATTTACATGTTACAGAGCATCAAAGAAACGTTTAAGAAAGTTTTCCGCTGCCATTCTCACCAATATTACCTTTTTGGCGACATGAAATTGCCCACATGGCAGTATTGGTTGAAAAAACTGTGTAGATATAAATCATTTTAAAGTAAAGCATACTTTTTTAATTTATTGATTAATAAAGCCAAAAGTTTCCTAGCAAGGTTGTGGTAAGTAGTACTCAGATGTTAAAAGCACTTATTTATACATAGCGGCGTTTTTTTTGACGTCGAAATCATTAATTCTTTATTTTTATTGCTAACTATATTTTTAAATAGTAATTTTCTTATTTTTTTTGGTGTAATTTATTTCGCCGTTAAAGAATGTTTACATTGCATATACATATATCAAAATTAATGGCAGGAGCAAGAAGAAGGCGCAGTTTGCCTTATCGCCGAGCCCCACATATAAAAAAAAACTCTGTATAAAAAAAAACTCTACATAACCGTAACATACAAATATATATAATACAAATATATAAAATATAGATCAGAATTAAAACAGAAAATAAGTGAGAAAATTAAGAAATTCAAAATAGCAAATAATTAAGAACTGTTGAAATGATAACAACCGCTAAAATATTTAAAAATCATTTAAACAAAAAATTTTAAATAAAAAAATAAAATTTCATGATTGATAATGTTTATCACAAGATGAATTTTTAACATCATTACTTAAATTTCATTGTCATAAATAAATTTGTTTTTATTTGATTAAACTTTAAAATAAACATTTAAAGTCAGATAAGTTAAGATCCCTGAATATTAATAATTATTTTGATTGATTTTTAAATTGCTCTAATCTAGTCTTGTTTTTGTTGACAATATCTGGGAATTTTTTCCACAGATAAGGTCCGCGATATTTAATTGAATAAGAGGTTAATTTTAAATTATACTTGAGAAGAACAAAATTGTTATTAGAAAACTTTGTTGAATATTTATGATTAATTTTATTAAAATTGGTTTGAAAAATTATTGGGGACAATCCCATTTTTGTTTTAAACATAAACAATAAAACTTGGTGTAAATTGAGTTTATACACATTTAAAGCACCGAGTGCGCGTAAAAGTGGTTCACAAAGAGTATTTATGTAGGCTCCAAACACTATTCTGTATGCATGTTTTTGTTTGTTGTAGATTTTCTTAAGTTTTGTATAGCAAGTACTAGCCCACACAATATTACAGTGAGACAAATAACTGTGAATAAAGGCAAAGTACAATTTTTTCAGGGATGCTACATTTAATTAAAGGTTTAGCCTTAAACATCAGTGCGATATTTTTTGAGAGTGTTGTTTCTATACTATTTATATGTGAATACCACAGTAAATTTTCATCCAGTTTTACTCCTAAAAAGTTTACGTTTGTTTCCCTTTTAATATAAGTATTATTAATTATAAGTTTTGGTAATTTTAGAGGAATGTTTTCGGATTTATTTACTTTATGGAAAAGTATATATTTTGTTTTATCCACATTAAATAAAAGTTTGTTACTTACGAACCATTCATTAACTTTACATAACTGTTCATTAAGTATTTTAAAAAGTGTTTTAATATCTCTGTAAGAAGATTGGAATCATCAGCAAACAAAATTAGGTCTAAAAGATTTGTTGCTAGGTATAAGTCATTTATGTACAACAGAAATAAGAGTGGTCCTAAAATTGAGCCCTGATGAACCCCGTAAGTTATCGAATATGGAGTTATTAGAATTTAGCCAAAGGCTTCTTTACTTTTTGCCTTTCATTAATCAATAACATCGTTAAATAAATAAAAAGTTGTAAAATGCCCTAATTATTTAATCAAGTCTTTTTATATATAATTTTACAATTTTCAGAAACTTTTAGGCCAATTTAATAAACATTAAAAATTGGTCCTTCCGTTTTAGGGATGGGGGTGCAAATTATGTATAGCCTTAAAAAAAAGCTTGCTATGGAAATGAACGTCAGTATGCTTAGCAATTAAAATTATAAAACATTTTTAGAAAATTTTGAAAACAAATTATCATAGTTGCTACTTACAGTTACATCTAAAATTTTACGTCTTTTAATTTACATGCTGCAAAATATTTACATAAAAACTACAACGAGTTATTAAACGGTTTGATATTGGAACAATGCCTTAAGACTTTAAATTTAAAAAAATTTGTTTTAAAAAAGATTTTTCTACAGTTTTTAAGTTATATTTAGATTTCAAGCTGGGATCAATGTTATAAAACTTTTTATTGGCGTAAAATGCTACCGGCGCTAAATTTTATTGGCGTAGATGATTTTTTTTAATGTTATAAAACATTTTTAAAAAATAACAGCGATAAATTTATACAGCCGAAAAATGTTCCGGAGGTGCGACCTACGGAAATTTTTGTTGAATATCCAGAGATATGAATATTTAGTTGTAGGAACCTGTGGTTCAGAACTTTTCAATATACGTACCTAAAATTGAAAACTTATTACAAATTCATTCATTTTAATTAAGTGTACATTTTTTGTTAAATTTTAATTTCAAGCGATTTCATCGTTAATATTTTTCTACTGAATTTGTCATTTAAGAAATATAACTCATTCTCAAAATTTAAAACTGCTTTCTTTAACTAATTTTTTAGAAAAATTTTGCTTATAAATCTTATACTTTCATTCAACTTGTTATTTATAACGCTAATTCTGAGCTTCTATGTATCTAAATTTTTTCTTTTCTGTTGTGTTTTAATATTTTTTGTTTAATTCATTAAATTTAGCAAAAAATATTAAAAAAACACAACAGTAAAGAGGAAAATAATTAAAATTTAGAGAATTAGTTACATTTCTTAAATGACAAATTCAGTAGAAAAATATTAACGATGAAATCGGTTAAAATTAAAATTTCTCAAAAAATGTGCACTTAATTAAAACGAATGAAAAAAAAAAAAAAAAAAAAAATTA